CGTGTGGCCGGGCGGGGTGGCGGTCCGTGCTGTCGGCGGGTGTCCCCGGGCCTGGGTGGCGGCCCGTGCGGCCTGAGGTTCCCCGGCCGCGCTGACCCTCCAGAGCGCAGCCATCTGGGGCGTCCCGGCCGCTGGGAGCTCCCGGGTCGGGGGGGGTTGAGGGGAGCAGCCTCGCCCCTCACGGCCTCCCCGTCCCGCCCCCCGCGCAGATGGAGCGGGTGGTCGTGAGCATGCAGGACCCTGACCAGGGCGTGAAGATGCGGAGCCAGCGCCTGCTCCTCACCGTCATTCCCCACGCGGTGACCGGTGAGGCGCGCGGGAACCGGTGGCGGGTGGGGGGTGTGCCTCGGTCTCCCGCCACCCCGGTCTCTCCTGTGCAGGCAGGGACGTCGTGGAGTGGCTGATCCAGAAGTTCTGCATCTCGGAGGAGGGTGAGGGGTCAGCCCGCGGCTTGTCCTGCCGCCCCTTCTGGCCCTGGGGTCGCTGTGCTGGTGGCCGCCCCTTCTGGCCCTGGGGTCGCTGTGCTGGTGGCCGAGGGCTCCCTGAGTCAGAGCCCTGCAAAGCGTGCTGGGGAGGGGGCGCCCGGCCGAGCACTCACGGCGCCCCCCCTCCCCAGAGGCGGTGCACCTGGGCACACTCCTGGTGCAGCACGGCTACCTGTACCCGTTGCGTGACCCCTGCAGCCTGGAGCTCCGGCCTGATGAGATGCCCTACAGGTTCCAGGTGAAGCTCAGCAGGGAACACGTGGGAGCCCACTCCCATCCATGAGCCCAACCGTTGGGTAGAGACTTGGGAGGGGCAGAGCTTGCTGGGATTGGAGTGGGACATGGTGGTCCATGGCCCCTTCCCCAAAAAAGTGTGGACTAGAAGCGTCCATGTGGTGAGAAGGACCAGGTTAAGGGGAGGGAGCTTTGGTTTTCCTGGGGCCACAGTGGGCCCTCGGAAAGTGTTAGTATCTGCAGAGGATTCTGCTGGCTTCCCGGGGGTAAGAAGGTGGCGGTGGTCAGGGCTGTGAACTCCAACATGATGGAGACCCCCTTCCTGCCCTTCCCAACTACATCAGGGACCCAACCAGACCTGCCCTCAGTTGTCCCCCCCACCCCAGGCACAGACTGTGACTGCACCCAGGGCTTGAGCAGGCCCCCACCCCCACCCCACCCTGAAGGGGGAGTTTAGGGCACCCAGAGTCAGGGAGACAGCCTTGCACAGGGCCCCAGGGGGTGAGTTGGCTTTAGTTCCAGGTGGAGAGAATGGGCAGTGGTCAGCTGAGCCTCCGGTGGTGGACAGACAGGGAGGTCCTCAGACACTCCCTACCCAGCCTGCCCAAGAGAGCTGTGAGGTGGGGGTGATGCCTGGGGTGGAGAAGGCCCAGGAGGTCCCAGACACCCTCTCCCTGCACCACACCAGACACCATACTTCTGGACAAGGACTATGTGGCCAGCAGCTGAGCTGGACTATGGTGAGTAAGGAGGGAACAGGCTAACCTGGGATAAACTCCCAGCACTGGGGCCTCGAGGGTGATGCCCCAGGTCAGGAGCAGAGCCTGTCCCTCTGAAGCCTGCTGCTTGTCCCTCTAGCCATCTACCTGGCCAAGAAGAACATCCGAAAGCATGGGGCCCTGGTGGACCATGAGAAGGTGGGAACCCCCGCAGGCTGAGTCCAGCTGGAGGAACCCAAGCCTCACTCACAGCCCTGATGCCTCAAAGTTTGCCCCAGAGCATGCAGCCCAAGCCCAAGCCCAAGATAATCCACATGCAGCGCTCCCTGTATGGTCTCACTGGGGAGGTGGGGTTCCCACTGCAGACCTTGCCCTCCCCAGGAGCACTATGAACAGCTGCACAAGAAGATCAACCACACGTGGGACCTGGTGGTGATGCAGGCCAGAGAGCAGCTGCGGTGAGACCCCCCCACACACATGTGGGGGACACTAAGCCCTGGCCCGAGGCTGGGTGGGGGAGGGGTTGCATGGGCATGGGCCACCCCAGCTTGGCCTGCTCCTCCCAGGGCAGCAAAGCAGCGCAGGAAAGGGGACCGGCTGGTCATTGCGTGCCAGGAGCAGACATATTGGCTGGTGAACAGGCCCCCGGTGAGCCCCTGTGTGTGTGTGTGTGTGTGGGGGAGTTCCCTACCAGCAAGAGGCGTCAGCTTGCTTCCCTGAAAAGCTCTCTCAGACCTCTCCTGGGATGCCTTTCAGGATCCTGTGGGTGGCAGGAGGTTTTATTTTTGTGACTCTGTTGAGTTTCTGGCCATCAGAACCCAGAAGTCATGAGGTCAGGCCTGAGGCTGCCCCTACCTCCATACCACAGAACAGACTAGCTTCTCTCTGGGTCTCAGGGAGAGGTACAGGGAATCTAAATGAGGGGACCAAAGACCCTCAGGAGGAGGTGCAGTGGGGGAGGGGCCGAGGTGCAGCTTGAGGAGCTGAGGTCACAGGTCAAGAGCTTTGGGGTGCTTGCCTGGGCCAGGCCTTACCTGTGGCTGTGGTCCTGGCAGGGGCTTGGGGTCCTCTGCTGCCTGTGGCTGTGGGGAGGCCCTGTGGACAGAACACTCAGGTGGGAGGGGCAGAGGGGACTCTGCTCCCGAGATCCTTTGAGGGTCGGTTTCCACATCATAGGATGAGGAGCGTCAGAATGGGGGGGTTTGTGGGGGTGGTGACTGAGCACCAGGGCAGGGATCTCAGAAGGACACCAGAGCTGCACCCCAAGCTCATCTTCTCTCCCCTCTGCAGCCTGGGGTCCCCAGTGTGCTGGAGCAGGGTCCAGAGCGGGGCTTCTGCACTGTCAACCATGTGCAGATGGTGAGTACCCACTCACCCCACCCGCTCCCCACCTGTTCCTACCCCTACACGCATTCCCCCAGCCCACTCACCTGCCCCTGACCCACACACGTGTGCCCTCATCCCGGCTCCACCCACTGTGGGACTCCTAGGGGCTGCCCATCCATCTCTCTGTCCATCATCCTTCTATTCCTTATCCATCCATTCAACCGTCCATCCATCCGTCTGCTCTCAGTCCACCCAAGTGGCCCTGATGTAGCCACTCGGCTCCAGACCTCACTTCCCCTGCACCCTTGCTCCCCACCCCCGTCCCACCGCCAACTCTCACCCTGGGTGCATGTAAGTAGAGTGACCTAGGAGGCTGGGAGCTGGCCCCCAGCATCAGGGCCCACAGGCAGCTGGAGGGTGACAGTGGATGACAGGTTTGAGGGGCCTGGGCCAGACCAGCCACTTCCCTCCAGAGTGACCAGGATGGACACATCCAAATGTCGTAGCCCCAGAGCCCTTTGTTCAAATTAAATCCCACCCAAACCCAAAATCTGAAACAGATTCTTGTATTTCGCTGATAAAACTTCTTCCTCACGTCAAAATCCTAATATTTCCCCATATAAAGCCAGTCAAAGAGAGCAAAAATTGGAAATCCCAAGTGTCCTAATGGTGCTGCCTCTGCCTCCAGCTCTGGGTCTAGTGCTGGCTGCAGAGACAGGTCGGGCAGCCGGTCACACGGTCACATGGTCACGGCTCCGGCAGCCCCCAGGAGGCCACCCAGCAGGGTTGGCGCCTTCTGAGTTCTGAACACAAATGAGTTAAACCTGGTTCCCCAGTGACCCATCAGTAGAAATTCTCATTTTTTTTTAAATGCACTTGAAAATGTGACATATTAATTGCAATTTGAGAACTTCAAGAAAACTTTGAGGAGCTGAGGGTTCTGTAGAACATTCTGAAAATCTCCAGACTAAAGGCCTGCAGAGGTTTCCTGGAAAGTCAGATTCCCCCATTAGAGGATGGGGCTCTGGGGGGGCAGGGCTGGGTGCCTCAGTCCATCTCTACCACATCCTGGTGGGATAGGGGCTCAGCCTGGGGAGAGGCCCTTAGGCTGGGGTGTTGGGTGGGTGGGGTCTCAGACCCCAGCAGGGGACCTGCCTTCTTACTGCAGCCCACTTGTGCCCTCATAGACCAAGAGCATGGACTTCTACAAGCAGGAGGTAGGTCCTGGGTGGGCTGGGGGAGGCACTGGCTGTGCCCCCAGCCCAGGCCCTGGTTCACGGACTCCCATCCTAGATCGAGCGCTGCACACAGGCACTGGGCAGGACCCGCGTGAAGTCCTCTGTCTGCCTTGAGGCGTGAGTCGGTGGGGGTGGTGGCTGGAGACCCTCAGCTCATAGCCCAGACCTTTTCCCAAGTACCCCGCTCCGTGCTGGCCCTGGTCCCCTGCAGGTACCTGAAGTTCAGCAGCCAGCATGAGCCACATGACCCCCTCATGTCAGGGTGCCTGCCCAGCAACCCTTGGATCACAGACGACGATGCCTACTGGGTCCTGAATGCACCCACGTGAGCTCAGGGCGGCGAGTGGGCCTGCGTGTGATCCTGCCTGGGGGCTGGGGTAGGGTTGGCCCCAACCTGCCCTGCCCCACCCTCTCCCTCCAGGGCAGCTGTGCCCACACGGCTCCGCGTGGAGCGATGGGGCTTCAGCTTCCGGGAGCTCCTAGAAGACCCCGTGGGGCGGGCCCATTTCATGGACTTTCTTAGGAAGGAGTTCAGTGGTGAGAAGCCCCCACCTCTCCCTGCTCTGGGCCCTGAGGGAGGCTGCTGTGTGGGATCTCAGCCCCTTCAGGACCTCTCCTGGCCCAGCTGGTCTGGGACCCCCAGCCCTGGCAGCCGGTTGGGTTGGACCCCTGACTTGGTTTCCGGCCCCCAGCGGAAAACCTCAGTTTCTGGGAGGCGTGTGAGGAGCTGCGCTATGGTGGCCAGGCCCAGGTGCCTGCCCTGGTGGACGCTGTGTACCAGTGAGTGTGGCAGGGTGGGTGCTGACCGGCAACTGGGCAGGCATGCCCCCTGGATCCAGCTGATGCTGTACCCACCCCCAGGCAGTTCCTGGCCCCTGGCGCTGCCTGCTGGGTCAACATCGACAGCTGGACTATGGAGCGGACGCTGGAGGGGCTGCACCAGCCACACCGCTACGTCCTGGACGATGCCCAGCTGCACATCTGCATGCTCATGAAGAAGGTAGGCCATGTCGTTGTCTCTGGGCCACGCAGCCATAGGCTTGCGCTCTACTCATTCACTGACAGCAGGGGGACGGGGAGCTGCTCCCTGGCTGCGGGACCATGACCGGCATCGTGCTCATGCCACAGCCCATCCTCCATCCTACAGACGAGCAAATATGTTCAGAGGTCACATGCTTAATAAGGATCCAGCTGCTATTTAAAAAAGCACTTTAATATGGAAATTTACAAATATAAACAAAAATAAAGTCAAATGAATCCCCGTGTACCCACTGCCTGGCTTCAAAATTTCCCGCTCAGGCCTGTCCTGACCTGGTCTGTCTCCCCCCCCACCCCCATCCCCACCCCCCCCCGCCTTACTTTAAAACCACTTCCAGACTTTTTTTTTTTTTTTTTTAAAAAGATGACGGTAAGGGGATCTTAACCCTTGACTTGGTGTTGTCAGCACCATGCTCAGCCAGTGAGCAAACCGGCCATCCCTATATGGTATCCGAACCCGGGGCCTTGGTGTTATCAGCACCGCACTCTACCGAGTGAGCCACGGGCCGGCCCCCACTTCCAGACTTTATATCTACAGACTAACCTATCTATTGCAGGTTTCTCTGTAGGATATGGACACCCCCAGTTTTTAAACATGACCTCAGATGCCAGCCTCACACCTGACCACAAATAGCATTTACTTAACGTTGCCCAGGCCCAGTGGGCTTGCTCTCACATCCACACACGGCCCCTGTATGGGTTTCCTGTGAGGATTGTAACAAACTGCCACTCACTCAGTGGCTCAGAGCAACGGACATCTACTTTCTTGTAGCTGCAGATGTCAGAAGTCTGACATGGGTCTTGGGCTAAAACCTAGGTGTCTTGCAGGGCTGGTTTCTTCCGGAGGCACTTGGGAAAAGCTGCTTCCTGCCTCTTGCAGCTCCCAGAGGCACCGGATTCCTGTGCTCGTGGCCCCTTCTTCTATCTGCAAAGCCAGCAGGGCAGCGTCTTCCAATCTCTCTCTCTGACCCTCCCCCTCTCGCCTCCCCGTCAGGACAGGACGCCTGTGATCACATTGAGCCCACCCAGATAATCCAGGATAATCTCCCATCTGAAGGTCCTAAATTTAATCACAGCTACAAAACCCCTTTATGCTGGGAGGGGACTTATTCTCAGGCTCTAGGGACGAGGGTATGGACATCTGGGGGACATTATTCTGCATACCATGGCTTATGCTTATTTATCTTTCTCTTTTCTTTCAATTTGCTTGAATTTGGATCCGTGCATTAGAATTGGTCAATTAAGGGCAGGTCTCTTCTCCATATCATTTCTTCCCTGTTTTGCTCTGGGCTGACCACATCCTGTGGCTTCCTCAGCGTGTTTTTGTCCCACATTCTGTGAATTGGTGGTCACATTCACAGCTTGATCAGATTCACCTTCAGTTTTGTTGTTTGGTTTTTGGCATGAGCACTCACTTCAGAGGTGGCATCTGACGGGCTCCTCCATGGGGAGACACGTGAGGCGTGGTGGAAGCAGCTCTGCTTTCCTGAGGACTGCGGCGTGATCACACTGATGCCAACCCCGCCTCTGTTCACTAGCAGGTGCTTCTGTGAGACACCTACTCATGTGCTCCTTGCCTGACCAGTGGTCCAGGTTGTGTGGGAAAGGGAGAGTCAGTACGTGATCCCTTCCTGTCCTCAGCACCTCTAAGCTGGACTTCCAGTATCTGTCAAAGGTGACCAGGGAGGTTTGCGTGTGTTTATACCACCATAAACTCACAGGTTTCTACCCACACTAGCCATTCATTATTCTCATGAGATGTCTGCATGGTCCCTTCTGTGGCCAGCTGGCTCAGGTGTCGGTGGGGGCCTCATTGCTCTCTGATGTGATGTTCATCCCAGGCAGAGCCCTGGCCCTTGTCAAGGGCGGTGGTTAGAACCCTGTCGCTGTGCCCCAGAGGTGCCCATTGCTCCTGGGGTGCCACTATCTCCAGGCCCTTCAGCGCACAAAACTAGGAAATATGTCTTTAAAATAAAGCATCAGGAGTTCACACCTACGCTGCCACTTCAGAGTCAGGACCACTTCAGAGTCAGGACTGCGGCGTTTTCTTGAGCCTCCACCCGCTCACTCCCCTCCGAGAGCCCTGGTTTCCAACTTGCTGATGCAATCTCTCTCCTGCTATTTCTCACACGTCAGTCATTGGTGTCCATGGTGCAGCGTGACACTGCTGTCTACAACACGGCCATGAAAATGGCTTACTTCCTTCTTTTCTCAGTCCCTATATACATCCACTCGGGACGTCATCTTGAGTGGCTCTGCAGCATGTGGTCATGGCCAGACCCCCGGCTGGATGCACAGTCAGCTTTGCTTGTTCTGCTTTAGGGAACTGCTTATTCATTTTATAATTATGTGAAATCTCTACACAGTTTCAAAATCCAACCTACAAAGCAAGGTGCACGTACATAGATCTCGCTCATGTCCCAGCTCCCTCCGCCCTGTTCCCTCCTTCCCACTAAAGTTAACAATTTTAAATTTCTTTTTCTTTTTTTTTTTAAAGATGACCGGTAAGGGGATCTTAACCCTTGACTTGGTGTTGTCAGCACCACGCTCAGCCAGTGAGCGAACCGGCCGTCCCTATGTGGTATCCGAACCCGTGGCCTTGGTGTTATCAGCACCACACACTACCGAGTGAGCTACGGGCCGGCCCATAAATTTCTTTTTCTTTTCAAAGTGTGAGCAATTACGGCCACAGGTTTCTATCTTGGTTAATGCTATGCAGCTTTTCTTGACCTTGTTTTTATGCAGCTCCATATCTGTCCTCACTCCACAGGGGGCAGAGACACTCCTGGTGATGTTATGTGGTCGCCCCTTTTCCTCCACGCACAGTGCTGGGGCTCTTGCTGTCTTTTACTGTCAAATGGACCCGCTGGACAGGAGCGCAGGTCTCCCTGAGTCTGTCCGGTCTGGGCAGGTATGGGGTGGCTGCATCCAGCACCTGTCCACTGGGGATGCTGTGGCTGGAGGAGGCAGCCCCAGCAATGTTGTGGCTGGACGTTTGGGGGGAGACAGCTAAGAAGTGAGGAGATGGAAAGGGTCAAGGGCTGGATGCCGTCTCTTGCAGGACTCCTACCCGAGGTTTCTGAAGTCCGACATGTACCAGGCCCTGCTGGCAGAGGCTGGGGTCCCGCTGGAGACCAGGAGATGGTGAGCCAGGCGGTACCCTGCAGTGAGGCAGGTGGGACACTCGCCGTGCCCCCACTCAGTGCCCTTCTTGCCCATAGGGTGTTCCCGTTCCTGAGGAAGCCACGGCACTCGAGCCCCAGCCCTGCCCTCCCTCCTACCTCTGGGGAGTCTGTGGTAGCCAGCGGCCCTGGGGGAGGTGACAGGGAGGCTTAGGTGGACCAACCGCCTGCCAGCCCCACCTGTGCAACGTCCTGTATGTGGCAGTGGTCCCTATCCCTTTGGCCCATGGTCCTGGCAGCTGCTAAGCCCCAGCATGGGTGTCCCCTGTGCCCGGGGCAAGACTTGCTGTGGGGTGCATGGCTGCTCTCAGGTTTCCCTCACCTTTCCCCAGGCAAGCCCTCCCCCGCCCAGAAGGGACTGGCACAGATGCTGATTCCCAGGGAGGGGGATTCATTGGCCAAGCATGGGTGGGGCAGGACCTATTACCTGAAGGAAGGCGAGTCCAAGGCCACACAGAGCTCCCTGCATTCTGTGGGCTTCAGTTCAGCACTGGGCACCCGTCCAGCTCTCTAGAACCAGTAAGTCGGCCGGCAACACCTGGAAGCAAGACTCACAGACAGGAGGTTCCCACAGGTAGCACCTGTTGGTGGTAAGGGACGCAGATCTCAGGGGAAACTTTACCCTGCCCCAGAGAAGCCACCATTGCCCAGTGTGGCCCCAAGTGGGGACTCTGGAGTGTCCCCTAATTCCACTGAGGCCACGCTGAGCCTGCATCACGCTTCCGCCCAGTGACCACACCCCGGAGCTGGGCCTTCAAGTACCACCCACCCCCGGCCGTCCCAGCACGTGCTCCAGGACCCATCCATGGCACACTGCCCTCTGATGCTCCACCTCGACTCTGATGTGGCTGCCCCTCTAACAATGAACAGTGAGGCTCCTCCTCCCCCCCTGCCCCCCCTCGGCGCAGACACAGTGTGCAGCTCCGACAGCTCGGCTGGGGGCACCACCTCCACACACAGGGCTGGCCCGCACCCTTGCCTTCCCACTGGTTCTGGCACAGAAATAAAAGATCCTGGGGCCCTCACTCTGAGCCCACCTGCCATGGGTCCCACTCATGGTGTTGGTGTGTCTGTGCATGTGAGGCGTGTATGGGTGTGATGAATGCATGTGTGTATGATATGTGTGCATACAAGATGCCCGTGTGCTGTGTATGTGAGGTGTGCATGCATGTGGTGTGTGTGCATATGAAGTGTGTATACGTGATGAGTGCTTGTGTGCATATGATGTGTATATGATGTGTGTGCATCAGTATGATGCATGTGTGGCGTGTGCATGTGAGACGTGCATGTGTGATGTGTGCTGCATGTGTGCATGGTGTGTGTGCATGTGAAGCGTGCATCCATGTGATGCGTATGATGCATGTGTACAGTATGATGCATGTATGTGTGGTGTGCGCATGAGGCATGTGTGCATGTGATGTGTGTATAATACATATGCACACAGTATGTGTGCATGCATGTGATGTGTGATGCATGTGTGTATAGTACGATGTATGCATGTGTGGTGTGTGCATATGAGTGAGGCATGCATGTGTGATGAGTGCCTGTGTACAGTATGATGCATGTACATGTGGCATGTATGACATGCATGTGTGTGGTGTGTGTGGTAAGGGGGGGCGAAGGTCAGTGGGAGGGGTTTAGGGTGTGAGAGGCAGTGTCTGTGGAGGGTCCTGGGCATGTGGGTCTATAGTGGAGGAGACAGCCAGTCCTCTCAGGCTGCAGACTTGGGGAAGACAGCAGGGGCAACATCTGTGCTCTGGCAGGACAAGATAAACAGGGTAAGTGGAAGGGGTGAGGAAACCGAGGCAAGGGGCCTGTGGGGAGAACGGGCTTCTGGGGCATGGTGTGCCCAGAGTCCCAGGCCCCCAGCAAGGCTGCTTTATTTGCAAGTCCAGGGGTGCCAGATGTTTCTGGAGGGATGGAAACCTCCACCACCAGCAAGGGCACCCACCTATGCAGCCCCATAATTCCTGCTGCTCAGGCAGGTGCTCACTGACTTATCCCCCATCAGCCACCAGGGGCACGCTGCTTCCGGGGCCTGCAGGGTCACCCCTCTCCAGGACCAGATCTGGGTGAGGGGTGCAGCCTCCCTCTGGGCCCGGTGCCGGGGTGGAGCAGACACTACGCCCGCTGCGTGCTCCAGGCCACATGGGCTGGTTACTTTTCTCAGGGACAAAGGACCTGCTTCCTGGAACAAGGGCACCCACCCTTTTTAACCTCAGCCCCCATGTTTCCCTCCCAGGCCTTCACAAGGAGAAACAGGACTAGGTTGTTCTTGTGTAGCCGTGAAACAAAGCTTTTCATATTCAAGTGTCCACAGGAAACTCCTACAGGATTCACTAAAGCAACTGCCCCTCATCATTTTCACGCCCAAAGCTGCATCTCTCTGAAACCCCTGCCCAGGCTCCTCCTGCCTGGGTGGCTGCCAGAGCTCACCCCCACCCTCCAATGTGGCTTCGTGCTTGTCCCTGGGAGCATGCCCACTTCCACGGGGGCAGGGGGCCTGGCATGCAGAGCAGAGGCCCACCTCGGGGCCGTGATGAAGAGGCTGCTGGGCCCGTTTCTGACCGGGCAGGTCTGGGTGCGGGTTCTCCCCTCCCGCTGCCCTCCCCAGCCTGACCCAGAGCCTCGTGGGCACGTTCCTGGACCTACTCTAGGACCAAATCCATCGCACTTCCTTGGGAGCACAGAGACAGACACCAGGCCACACCTGACCACTGGGGCTTTTTCAGACAGTGCAAAAACGTTTATTCTGTTTTTTCCGCGGTGACTGGGGTTGTCAGGCTGCTTTGGCGTGGGCTCCGCTGTCTGGGCAGGGATGAGCCACACACAGCACGGCAGCTGCCCTTGGACCTCAGGAGCAATAAGGCACAGAGGTGAGTCCTTTGTCAGGTGACCCCGGCTGGAGGGAGCGTCTGAGCACAGGGGTGGGGGACGCTCCATGCCCAGGGTACAGGGACCTCCGGAAGGAAGAGCAGCTCCAGTGTGTACTGAGGGCACAGACTGACCCAAACATGCATTACACTGCAGCCTGTGGGACACTCAGCAGCACAAGCAGCCAGCACACATGTGCAGTCCCCCTCAGGGCACCCATCAGCAGCCACTGACCCCCCCAGCATCCTGTTGAGGAAGCCCCTACCACAGAGCCCTGTTCCTCACAGGGCAGGTCACACCCACCACGCTGAAGGTTTCCTTCCCTTCCTGGCTCTCAGCAGGGCTGGAGACTGGCGTTGCCTCAGGTCCCAGCTGCTGCCCTAAGCCCCCCAGGGCCCACCACCCTCTGAGTTCCACGACTGTTGGGGGACAGTGCAGAGAAGGAAAGAACCAAACAGGAAGAGGGGAAGGGACTCCTGTAGGGTGGGGTGGGAGGAGCCTGTCTGGGGGCACCTGGGCTGACCCCATGGCAACGGCCTCCTGGTGGGTTGGGGGGTAGGGGGCTCTGCAGGGCCGAGCTCTGCCCAAGGCACCCAGGGAGACCCAGTGCGAGGACTCAGTGAGGATACAGTGTGCCAGGCAGGAGAGAGGCCTGGGAGGTCCCCTCACCCAGCTTGTCCCTGGCTATGACTGGGTGAGGACCAGTAAGGCCACAGGTCCGTGCGGGAGACCATCTCCAGGGTCAGGAGTGGGGAGTTGGCGTGGAGACCTGGGACGTTTAATTCCAGCAGCTGCAGTCTCCCCCACACGCTCCAGCCCATATGCGTCTACGCCTCACTCCGATACCGCAGCTGCGTGAAACGGTCCCTGATGGCCTGGTCGCTGTCTGAGCTGCCTTCCCCCAGGCGGACCACCCTGCTGCCTGGGACAAGGTCCTGCACTTTGTGCTTGGTCACAGAGACCAGGCCGGGCACATCCGAGCTCACTGGGCCTGTCAGGAGGACGTAGGCAGCGTGGCGGCTTGGCTCAAACAGGACCACTGCAGGAGACACAGCCGTCAGGGTCATCAGGACCAGCCAGAGAAGACCTCCCGGCAGGGGAACCCAGGCCCTGGCTGGAGCCACACTCACCATCAAACGCAATGACGTTGGCAGAGACATTGGCCAGCTCCAGCAGGACTCTGGGCAGGGTGGGGTGGAACATGTACAGACTGTGCTGGGCGGCTCCAGTCTCCTGGAGTGAGAACCAGCAATGGGCTTGAACCCCATGCTGTGCCAGGCCGCAGCCATCATCCAGGCAACACTCAGGTCACCCCACAGACGCTGCTGTCAGAGTCAGCACACCTAGAGCTTGGCCCACCAGGGTCCCCACCTGAGTCCCACAAGATGCCAACTTCAACTGTCTCCTCCTCCAGCTCCTCCTTCCCCAACCCAATCCACATCCAGTCCTTCTCGTTGTCCAACACCATCAGGCACCGCCCTCCTGCTGCGGCCCATCAGCATCTCCTGGATCCCTGGTGTCCACCCCAGGAAGACCCCCAGGAAACTCCCCACTTGGCTGCATGCCTCGTGCTGACCGACTGTTGCCTGGCCTCAGTGTGTCTGTGGCACTTCCATGTGGGATCCACACTCAGCATCTCTGGTGCTGGCTCCTGGAAGTGGGGTATTCCCTGAGCACACGCCCCCCACATACCATCTCGTTGGTGCTGACCATCTCGTGGAGGCCCCAGAAGAAGAAGGCTGAGCGGTGGTCTGCAGTCGGCAGGCTGGCAGATGGTGGGCCACCAGGGAGGCTCGGGAGGGTGTGGGTCCACAGCATGGCTCCGGAGCTGAGGTCCAGGAGCAGGATCTGGGGAGGGAGAGGGGACAAGGTGGGAGGTGGCCGGGACAAACTCAGGGCTCGCACAAGACACGTGCCCCCGGTCATGCCAGCCCTGAAGGCAGCTGTCCTCTGAGGGCAACAGAACCTTCTCAGCAGTTCTGAGGACAGCTGCCTCATGGGCCACACCCTGTCTGCATTCAGACCAGTTTATGCTTAGCTGCAGACAAAGACAGAGCCTCTGAAGGAAGTACAGCCAACCTGTCTGTCCATGCCGGTTCCATTTTCAATGACCACGGCCAGGGCATCTGGTCTGTAGTGACCAAGGATGGGTTTTCTGTTAGGAGAAAGGGGAAGAAGAGCTCACAAGGGCTCTCTGTAAGGAGATTAAGATGAACGTAATACCTGGGGACAGGGACGCCACTCAGTCTTCTGTGGCCACACCTGGATGGGGGCT